ACCCATGTTGTTACAAGAAAACATGATCTCATTCTTTGTTATAGCTACATAGTATTCCATGTTGTAGATGTACCACATTTTCTTTATCCTGTCTACCATTGGTGAGAATTTAGGTTGATTCCATGTCGTTGCTATTGTGAATAGTGCTGCAATGAACATATGAGTGCATGTATCTTTCTAGTAGAATGATTTGTATTCCTTTGCATATATACCCAAAAATAAGATTGCTGGGTCAAATGGCAGTTCTGTTTTAAGTTCTTTGAGAAATTACGTAACTGCTTTCCACAGCGGCTGAACTAATTTACATTCCCACCAGCAATGTATAAGTATTCCCTTTTCTCCATAGCCTTGCCAACATCTGTTGATTTTTTGCTTTCTAATAATGGAATTTCTGACTTACATAAGATGGTATCTCATTGTGGTTTTGATTTGCATTTCTCTAATAACTAGTGATGTTGAGCTTTTTTATTATTATGCTTGTTGACTGCATGTCTGTCTTCTTTTGAAAAGTGTTCGTTCACATACTTTGCCCACTTTTTAATGAGGTTGTTTGTTTTTTGCTTACTGATTTGTTTAAGTTTCTTACAGATTCTTCATATTAGACCTTTGTTGAATACATAGCTTGCAAAATTTTTCTCCCATTCTCTAGGCTGTTGTTTATTTTGTTGATAGTTTCCTTTGCTGTGCAGAAACTCTAGTTTAATTAGGTCCCATTTGTCAATGTTTTGTTTGCATTGCAATGGCTTTTGACATCTTTGTCACAAAATCTTTGCCAGGGCTTATGCCCAGAATGGTATATCCTAGATTTCTTTGGGGGTTTTATAGTTTTAACTCTTATACTTAAGTTTTTCATTCACTTTGAATTGTTTTTTGTATATGATGTAAGAAAGGGGTCCAGTTTTAATCTTCTGCATATGGCTATCCAGATAGCCCAGCACCATTTATTGAATAGGGAATCCTTCTCCATTGCTTATTTTTGTCAACTTTGTTGAAGATCAGATGATTGTAGGTGTGTGGCTTTATTTCTGGATCCTCTAACCTGTTCTATTAGTCCATCTGTCTGTTTTTGTACTAGTAGCATGCTGTCTGGGTTACTGTGAAGTAACACGAGGCTTCCAGCTTTGTTGATTTTGCTTAGGGTTGCTTTGGCTATTTAGGCCTTTTTTAGGTTCCATATGAATTGTAGACTAATGAGTCTCGCTCTGTCGCCCAGGCTGGAGTGCAGTGGCCGGATCTCAGCTCACTGCAAGCTCCGCCTCCTGGGTTTATGCCATTCTCCTGCCTCAGCCTCCCGAGTAGCTGGGACTACAGGCGCCCGCCACCTCGCCCGGCTAGTTTTTTTGTATTTTTAGTAGAGACGGAGTTTCACCATGTTAGCCAGGATGGTCTCGATCTCCTGACCTTGTGATCCACCCGTCTCGGCCTCCCAAAGTGCTGGGATTACAGGCTTGAGCCACCGCGCCTGGCCGTAGACTAATTTTTTTCTAACTTTGTGAAAACTGTCTTTGACAGTTTGATAGTGATGGATTGAATCTGTAAATTCCATTGGGAAATATTGCCATTTTGACAATATCAATTCTTTCTTTCCATGAGCATGAAATATTTTTCCATTTTTGTGTCATCTCCTACTTATTTCAATAGTATTTTGTAATTCTTGTTTTAGAGATTGCTCACCTCCCTGGTTAGCTGTATTTCTAGGCATTTTATTTTTTGTGGCTACTATGAATGGGATTGCATTCTTAATATAGCTCTTAGCTTGGACATTCTTATTGTATAGAAATGCTACTGATTTTTGTACATTGATATTGTATTCTGAAACTTTTCTGAAGTTGCTAATTTGATATAGGGACTTCTGTGTAGACACTATGGGGTTTTCTATGTATAATATCATATTATCTACAAACAGAGATTGTAGGATTTCCTCTTTTCTTATTTAGAAGCCTTTTATTTCTTTCTCTTGCCTGATTGCTCTGGCTAGGACTTCCAGTGCTATGTTGAATAGGAGTGGTGGGAGTGGGCATTCTTGTCTTGTCCAATTCTCAGTGGAAATATTTCCAGCTTTTGCCCCTCAGTATGACGTTGGGTATGGGTTTGCCACAGATGGTTCTTATTATTTTGAGATATTTCCTTTAATACCTAATTTATTGAGAGCTTTTAACAAGAAGATATGTTGAATTGTATCAAAAGCCTTTTCTGCCTGTATTGAGATGATCATATGGCTTTTACTTTTAGTTCTGTTTATGTGATGAAGCACACTTATGGATTTGTGTATATTGAACTAACTTTACATCTCAGGGATAAAGCCTCCTTGATCTTGAAGGATTAGTTTATTGACGTGCTGCTGGATTCAGTTAATTACTGTTTTGGTGAGGATTTTCATGTCTATGTTCATCAAGGACATTAACCTGAAACATTCTTTTTTTTTTTTTTGTATCTGTGCTAGGTTTTGGTGTTAGGATGCTGGCCTCACAGAATGAGTTAGGGTGCAGTACCTCCTCCTCAGTGTTTTGAAATCATTTCAGTAGGAATGGTACCAACTCTTTTTTATACATCTGATAAAATTCAGCTGTAAATTTCTGTAGTACCAGGCTTTTATTGGTTGGTAGGCCTTTTATTACTGATTCAATTTCAGAGCTTGTTATTGTTCTGTACGTGGTTTCAATTTCTTCCTAGTTCAATCTTGGGAGGTTGTATGTATCCAGGAATTTATCCATTTCTTTTAGGTTTTTCAGTTTGTGTGTCAAGAGGTGTTCATTCATAATAGTTTCTGAGGCTTTCTTGTATTTCTGTGGAATTAGGGCAATGTCTTCTTTGTCATTTCTGATTGTGTTTATTTAGACCTTGTCTCTTTTTTCTTTATTAGTCTAGCTAGCTATCAATCATATTTATTTATTCTAAAACCAAACCTCTTGTTTTGTGGATACTTTTATTGTTTTCCCCACCTCAGTTTCCTTCAGTTCAAATCGAATTGTAGTTATTTCTTGTTTTCTGCTAGTTTTGGTGTTGGTTTGCTTTTGTTTTTCTAGTTCATCTAGGCGTGATATTAGATTATTAGATTATTAATTTGACATCTTTCTAACTTTTTAGTGGTGTAAACTTTCGTCTTAACATTGCTTTAGCTGTGTTCCAGCGATTCTGGCATATTTTATCTTTGTTTTCATTCATTTCAAAGAATTTCTTGATTCCTGCCTTAATTTCATTCTTTACCCAAAGGTCACAAAGAAGCACGTTGTTTAATTTCCATATAATTGTATGGCTTTGAGTCATCCTCTTGGTATTGATTTCTGTTTTTATTGTACTGTGATCCAAGAGTGTGGCTAGTATAATTCTGGCTTTTTTGAATTTGCTTAGAATTCTATTTGGTTGATCATGTGGTCAATTTCAGATTATGTGCCATGTACAGATGAGAAGAATGTATATTCTGTTGTTGGAAGGAGAGTTTTGTAGATGTCTGCAAGGTCCATTTGGTCAAGTGTTGAGTTCAGGTGCTGAGAATGTCTTTCTCGGTTTTCTGCTTCATGATGTATCTAACACTGTCAGTGGAGTGTTGAAGTCTCCCACTATTATCGTGTAGTTATCTAAGTCTCACATAGATCTCTAAGAATTTGCTTTATGAGTCTGGGTATCTCAGTATTGGGTTCATATATATTTAGAATAGTTAAGTTTCCTGGTTGAATTGAATCCTTTACCATTATGAAATGCCCTTTGTCTTTGTTCTATGTTTGTTGGTTTAAAGTCTGTTTTGTTTGAAATTAGAATAGCAACCCCTGTTTTTTGTTTGTTTGTTTGTTTGTTTTCCATTTTCTTGGTAGATTTTTCTCTATCCCCTTACTTTGAGCTTCTGGGTGTTTCATGTGAGGTGGGTTTCTTGAAGACAGCCTACAATTGAGTCTTGCTTCTTTATCCAATTTGCCTTTTAAGTGGGATGTTACCTCATTTACACTCAAGGTTAAATCAATATGTGAGGATTTGAACTTGTCATCATATTGTCTGTTGGCTGTTACGTAGACTTGATTGTATAGTTCCTTTATAGTGTCAGTGGGCCTCGAACCTAAGTGTGTTTTTGTGGTGGTAGGTAATAATCTTTTGTTTCCATGTTTAGCACACCCTTAAGAACCTACTGTAATACCAGTCTGATGGTAAGGAGTTCCATTAACATTTGATTTTGTGTAAAGAATCTTATTTCTCCTTTGCCTATGAAGTTTAGTTTGGCTGGATGTGAAATTCTTGGTTGAAAATTATTTTCTTAAAAATGCGGAATATAGGTCCCCAGTCTCCTGGTTTGTAAGGTTTCTGCTGAAAGGTCTGCTATTAGCCTGATAGTTCCCTTTGCACATGACCTGCTCCTAATTTCTAGCTGCTTTTTATGTTTTTTCTTTCACATTGAGCCTGGAGAATCTAATGACTATGTGTCTTAGAGATGGTCATCTTGTATAGCATCTCAATGGGGTTCTCTGCATTTCCTGAATTTGCATGTTGACCTCTCTTGGGAGGTTGGGGAAGTTTTCATGAACAATACCTTCCAATATGTTTTCCAAGTTGCTTTCTTTCTCTCTCTCTCTCTTTCAGAGATGCCAATGAGTCGTAGGTTTGGTCTCTATAATAATTTTATATTTATTGGAGGTTTTGTTCATTATTTGTTTTATTTTATCTTTATTTTTGTCTGATTCAGTTGATTCGAAGAACCTGTCTTCGACCTCTGGAATTCTTTCCTCAGGTTGGTCTATTTTGCTGTCAATGCTAGCAACTGTATTATGAAATTCTTGTAGTGAGTTCTTCAGCTCTATCAGCCCAGTTTAGTTCTTCCTTAAAATGTGTATTCTGTTTTATATTTTATATATTTTTTTATATTTATATTTTATATATAAATTATATATTATTATATATAATTAATTTATATATAAATATATTTATATATAAATTAAAAAATTTATATATTTATATTTATATATATTTTTTATATATTTATATTTTATATTTCTTATATTGTTTTACTAGATTCCTTAGACTCCTTGGATTGGGTTTCAATTTTCTCCTGACTCTCAATGATCTTCATTTCTATCCAGATTCTGAATTATATGTCTGTCATTTTAGCCATTTCAATGTTGTTAATAACCACTGCTGGTTAACTAGTATGGTTGTTTGGAGGTAAGAAGACACTGTAGCTCTTTGAGTTGCCAGAGTTCTTATACTGGTGTTGTTTTAGCTGTGTGGGCTGATTGTCCCTTAATATTTGAAGTTGCTGTCTTTTGGATGGGTTTTGGATTTGTGTTTTGCGTTTATCTTTGATGCCCTTGAGGGTCTAATTGTGATGTAAGGTGGATTCAATCAACTGGCTTCATCTTGGAAGATTTTGGCGGGTGGAGGTAAAAGGGCTCATCACTTCTAAACTGTGTGCTCTAGTCTTGAGGGGCTGGTACTGGGTTCCTGGCTTTATTCTTTGGCCCCTTGAGGTTAGACACCTCCAGCGCTGGGTGGAAGCTAAAATGTTTCTGGTACCCTGGCAACAACCCTCTAATGTGGGGTCCCAGCCACAGTCCTTCTTCGGGATGATGGCAGTAGGACCCACACCTGCACACACATCAATAAGAGTGATGGTGCAGTGGAGTGTCCACATGTTGGCAGGGCCAGGGCACCAGTGGGGGCAGTATGCTGGCCTTCATGCATTGTCAGAAAAGAGGCAGCAGTGTCAGTGTGTGCACACTTGTGCCAGCAGCAGTGGGGCAACACGGTGCATGTGCACATGACAGGAGATCAGGGGAGGGGAGGTCTGCTTATGCACATGTGCCAGCAAAGTGGTTCATAGGGAAGGGCTGGACTCATGGAAAAGTGCATGATGGCAAAGCGATGGAGTGAGGTTCAGTCAAGGGAGGCTGCAAGTGGGTGGCTGCACATCGGTGGGGGGCGGTCTGCTGGAACTCTACAATGGTTAGGCATGGTCTGCTAGGTGTGGTCTTCCAGTGAAGGAGCTATAATGATGGATCCCAGGAAGCACCCTACTTGGGCAACCAAGGCTGAGGGCTGAAATGCAAGTTGGGATGAGAAGGCTGGGGCCCTAGGAGAGGCCAGCAGACAAGCGGATGCTCAGATAAGACTGCCCCCATCCCATAGGCAAGACTACCCTCCTCTGTCCAGGTTTGGCAGTTACCAAAGGCCAAAGGCACCTAGAAGAGCTTGGCAAGCTTTGGCAAATAGGCATTCCTGGCCATGCTCCACTGCAGCCCTTCCCATGCCAAACCTTCTGGGCTCCTCACAAGCTACAGTCCTGCCCCTGCTCCCTCTCCAAACTTCCCTCCCTGCCATCCCAAGTGTCATGGAGCTTGTGGGGTCTCTTGCAGCTAGGATTCTGGAGGTCCCTGGTGAGAGCAGGCCACTCCTGGCCAGTTTAACACATCAGTTCCCTGGGAGCCACCGGGGAAGTGGGGGACAGGGACAAGTCCTGGTGCTCAGCAGCCCCATGCATGGTCCCAACTTCCAACCCCTTCATCCCAAGGTCTCTGTCCTTCCTCTGTCCACTCTCAATGCTGTCTTTCTGAAGATCTGCTTAGAGTGTGCCAGTTTTCTCCATGGCCTGGTCTCTTGGTGGGAGATTTTTCTTCGTGGCTACCGCTAGTCAGCCATCTTGGCTCCAAATCCTAGAAGAAGAATTTTAAAGAAATCACTTTAAACCTTTGGATCATTTTTTCCTTACCGTTAATTGAAGAATATGTAACAGCTAACAGAAAAAAAAAAAAAAATCAAATAATAATAGTCTTCAATTATCAAGGAGTTACAACATATTACAACATGCCAATCAATTTACAACCATTATTTTGTTTAATGCATAAACATATTCAAACCAGAAATCAGCTAAGGGAACCATGATCACTGGCTAAAAAGAATGAGTTGTCTGGCTGGTAGTGTATCTACTAGACAGATCTAGAATCAGGCTAATGTATCCCAACATCAAGTGAGTTAAAGCAACAGGGTTTAATTAAATATAATCACTATTCACACAGAAAATAATTTAATAATTTAGTTATATTCCAAAGCACCAAAATATAAAATTCAATAATAACAGTTAAACTCTACTGAGTAGTTAAGCATAACGCTAGAAACTCTGTTAAAGCACTTCACATATTTCCTATCATTTAATCCTTACAACAACTATGTAGGGTAGGTGTTTTCATCTGTGTTTTACAGATTCAAAAGCTGAAGTTCAGAAATATTAAGCAGTTTCTCTAATAACTATAGATATAGACACAACCAGATTTATTAACATAGATGCAATCTTTTTCTAAAGTAGGAGATTAGTTTATATTAGAGCTCCACTTAGCTCCTATAACACAGATAAATAAATAAAATTGATTAACAAGATCAAATTTTATTTCTCAGTCACATATAATTCAAGGCTAGAAGGAGGCCTCTACCCTCCTCAGCACACCATTTTATCTCTAGGTCCATGAAATCTGTTCTTATTCTCAACATTTCCCAGACAAAGAGAAGGGAATGCCTTCTTTTAAGGCACAACCCAGAACTTGCACACACATATCCATGACATATAATGTGGAAGAGCAATTACTAAAACATGACGAGCATATTTCACTTTTCAGTAGACAAGACCATGCATATGCAAGCATATGAATAAGCTTTTTGCTATGTGCAGTGGAAGGGAGAAGTGCATGATGTCTTTTTGTGCAGTTTATTATTGAAAAATGTGCTATGGGGGTAATATTTTTCTTTTGTAGTGTACACTAGAAAACATGTACTGAAATTAATCTTAACAGAACAGCACTTCTGTGTCTAACAAGGAAAAACACCACTCTACAATGAAAACAAGTAAATAAAACAAATAAAAACAGGTTTTACCTGCATGCCAATCCTGCACGTTGTTGTCTGTAGAGTTTAGTTGGTAGTCAATAATGTACATCTATATTATTGATTCGGAATTGAAGAATATGGTGAAATCTTTCATTGCAATCACATTTCATCTAGTGAATATATACATCTTTCAGCATGTTGGTGAAAAAACTGGCAATAAGTGGGTGACTAGTTTTCCACAGTGAAGTATGCTGTCGGTAAAAGGAGAAGGTGAAATTAAAATAGGGAGTGAGATGAAAAACATTCCTTTATGACACCAACGTTACCAGAAAAGACCATTTGAATGATTACATGCAGCTTGTTTTAGTGGAACATCTCAGGAATACATTTAGTATCTTGCAGAGCCTAAAGCCATCATTTCAGCATCAAAATATTCTAATTTTTATCATTGAAGACAAAAGTATATCGAAAGTATTACTATGAGATTACTGAGAGTTTTCCCTAGCATTTGAATGTTTTCTCATTTTTTGGAGGAAAAAATAGGTTTAAAAATATGTATCATCAGACAGATTTACAAACAACATGAAAATGCTGCAATAAAGCAGAATTTCAGAGTTGAAAGTAAAAAGTGAATAGAAATTAATGAATCTGGAGTCTGGAACAAACTGCCTCATTGACTTAGAAGGAAGTTTGATTTAAATACCCAGAATGATACATAATTAAAGCCATTTACAAAGTATTATTGTGACAAGATTTTCTGCTTTAGTTAAAAACAGAATTAAAAACTTGGCTGTGGAAGACCAAGGCAAGACGATCACTTGAGGCCAGGGGTTCCAGACCAGCCTGGCAAACATTGTGAGACCTCATCTCTACAAAAAAAAACAAACAAACAAACAAAAAAAAACTTTTTTTTTTTTTTTGAGAGGGAGTCTCACTCTGTCGCCCAGGCTGGAGTGCAGTGGCACGATCTCGGCTCACTGCAAGCTCCACCTCCTGGATTCACACCATTCTCCTGCTTCAGCCTCCCGAGTAACTGAGACTACAGGTGTGTGCCACCACACCTGGCTAATTTTTTGTTGTTGTTGTATTTTTAGTAGAGACAGGGTTTCACCATGTTAGCCAAGATGGTCTCAATCTCCTGACCTCATGATTCACCCGCCTCAGCCTCATTAGCTGTGCATAGTGGCATGTGCCTATAGTCCTAGCTACTCAGCAGGCCGAGGCAGAAGGATACCTTAAGCCCAGGTGTTTGAGGTTGCAGTGAGCAGTTATTGTACCATTGCACACGCCTGCCTGGTCAAAATGAGACCAAGACCTTGTCTCAGGAAAAAAAAGAGAAAGAAAAAGGAAAAGAAAAAATTTGGCTGGATGAGGATTGTAATTTATGACTCAAGGTAATGCTTATCAAGTTTAATATTGATACAATGGTTACAAATGACATTCTCCTCCTCACAAATAGGGAGCTGGTATAATTGCCAATTTAAAATATTATTACAAACATTTTAAAACATAAATAATTTAACATTGATGGTTTACATGTATGCTGAATGTTGTTAAGAGTTTCACAGGTTCTAAAAGTTGACGAAAACTATTCTGTATTTTATAGCTATTATTCCCAGGACACTGTTTGGAGAAGATTTACAGGATGAAGGAAACTTCTCTTAATATTTAGCATTCACCTCGACATCTAAACAACCAGAAACTATGGAAGTGCAAAAAAGTGAAAAGTTATACAATGAATTTCAGAGCAGTGCAAATGTGAATGTATTCCTGAATTGTCAACTCAATTGACAGATCCATCCATTTTAATCAAAGTATATTTTAATAGTACATTACTACAATATCAGTTTCTGAATTCAAGATTCCTCATTACATGAACTACCTTGTTTTCTCTATTGACATTTACACTCTTTTTATTGATCCTTTTATTGATTCTCTAACCTGTTGTGTATCTTTTCAACAGTGAATTAAGAAAGAGAATGATCATTTAACTGTGTCCTTTTTAATATGTATGTTTTCCTTTATTATCATACCCAGAACCATGTCATAGAGATAATTAAGCTAGTTTAGCAGAATTTATTTTGTATAAAACTAGGATATAGTCAACTGTTTTTGAGAAAAGTTTACTATTTTTTCATTTATGTGATAAAGCTGGTGATATTTTTTCATTTTCTTCTTCATAGTATGTTTTAGGACTTTCTGGACCCACTTAACAATCAGAAAAATAGCAAAAGAAGCAGCATCCTCTTTGGCTTCCTCTACCGGATGTCCCCTACTTTAAAAACCGGCATGTAGCAGAGATTCAAGGCTGCAAAACAAGATGAATCGAGCAGAAGAAGATCATTAGAAAGAACAATGTGGCACTCATCATTTTGTGCTGTCACAACACCATCTGTGTTGCACCAGACCAGAGTAACTTTGACATGACAAATAAACCTCTTAGGGGAAATGGGGATTCTATTAATTGTTCCGCTGTCTGGCCAAACACTAGTGATATACTCTCCCCTAATGCAGTTCCATACACAATTGTTATTATTGAATTAACAATAGCAATGAGTTATGATTTTTAAAACAACATTTATTTCCCCTGGATGAAAAATAAGACTTAAAGTATCATAGTCTCACCAGGGTGGTATAAATATATTTATGCAGTCTCGCAATTATATTTACACCTCACCTGGGGGACTGACTCCAAAAATAAATATTGTTTTCTTCCCCTTGCTAATAAATATTTTTCAATAAAACTACATCATGTGTCCTCATGGCAGTCATTTTCCTCAACTGCAAAAAATGGTGAGGGTATTGGTTCACATAACTTCTGATCTGCCAACACTGATCTTTTCCTGAGCATTACTATTATTAACAACAATAATGGCAGCTAACATTTATTGCAGGTTTATACATCCAGCTGCCATGTTAACTATCTATGTGTATTATCTCATTTAAGCCTCACAACAATCCTATGAGACTTTTATTTAGCCAAATTTCTAGATCAGGAGTTAGCAAACATTTTTGGGAAAGAGCCAAATAACAAATACTCTAGGCTTTGCTAGCTTAAGAGTCAGTCAGCCACAGCTACTCAGCTGCTATTGTGGCTCAAAAGCTGCATACGCAATCCATAACCAAGTAAGTGTGATTGCATTACAATAAAAGTTTTTAAAAAGATAGTATACTAGATTTTGTCTGTGGACCATTGTTTGCTACTGCTGTTCTAGATGATGAAACTGGTGTTTAGTAAGTTTAAATGACTTGTCCAAGTCACTAACTAGTGAGGCCAAAATTTGAAAACAGACTAACTACAGATATGAGCTGCTAACCACAATATTACACCTCCTTTAGTATTCTTTAATATTTTACAACAGAAAGATTGAAAAAATGTAAAAATTTTAATGTCTTAAAAGCCAATGCTGGAATTTCTCTTAGAGAGGAAATGTATTTGTTGTAAAGACGTCTTGCTAATTCACCTGGGGAATGTTAAGAATGTAAAAGCAGTTGTCAGCAGGCCTCAGGATAAAAGAAAAGAAATGAATAGAAACTTTGAGGTGCAGAAAGACAGAGTAGAGAGAAGAGAAAATAGCTGAATGTGGGAGGGGTGATTATAGCCTGAATTATAGAAAAAAGTCAACAGATACAAATGATTTTTTTTAATAAAAGGAGATGATTGGGAATTTCTAACATTGTGTTGCTTAGGCTACAAGTAATAAAAAGCTTACAAAATATGGAAAGATGCTTTCTCACATAACCTAAATCAAAAAGTCGGATAAGCTCCAGGTGAGATAGTCACAGATCCAGCTCTGCCCCTCTGCTGTTGCCTCAGCTCTGCCCTTCTCTGTGTAGATTAGACTTTCTCCACAGCAGCAAGATGGCTGCCAGCAGCTACTGAAGCAACAGACTGCTGTTCATGTACAGTGAAGAAGAGAAGAAAAATATCCTGTCTCCTAACAATGGGGAATATTTCTGCTTATTAATAATTAGTTCCCCCAAATCCCAAGTGCTTGGAGTTTAATTATGAATTCCTAAAGCATTTTCTGGAAAGGAGGGTGGATTTCCCAATGCTGACCTCCTAAACTACACAGGCCCTGTAACTACAAAAGTGGCCATTTCATTTGAGTCATATGGGCTGTGGGAAGATGCATGGCTATCTGAACAAAAATGGGATGCTTTTGGGAATACAGAGAAAAGATAAATATAGATAAGCAAAATGTATATCTCTAATGCATATGAGGAAATCTTTACATAGCTCTGGAACAAGACTGACTTTTAAAAAATAAGAGAACAACAAACTGGGTTTGCCATTAACGTGGAACTTACCTGTTTCAGAAACTGTCACATTAAAACATCACATAAAACATGAATGTTTTACTTTATGTCAGGCAATGTGACAGATCCAGGGCCAAAATAAAAATTTCTAGTCTTGCAGGAGATAGCACATAGATATTTTGAAACAATCTAGTAGTAGATTAATAGTAACGTACCTGAGATGCTACGGATGTACTCAAGGCTGGAGGAATCAGAGAAGTCTTCTAGAAGAAATGTCTTTGCTTTCTTTTATTATTTTTTATGAATAGAAATTAAGGCTATATGACATATAATCACAATATGTATATGAATATATTCAACAACAAAATATTTTCCTTACAAAAATACAGATACAACTAAGTACATCTCACAATATCACAATATTCCTTGAAAGGCATTATGTTAGGTACCAGCGAAATCTAGAAGCAATATGTTTGTAAACACTGTGTAAATATACAGCTACATATATATCAACTTTAACATTTAGCACTCTAGAGAGCATGTCTATTCACATTCATTGGCATTCCTTTACAAATTCAGCAATCAAGCTTAGATATTAGACGTGAAACTATATGGTGAACATAGAAATAGAATTTTGATTTGTGCCAAAAAAACATATTTTTTAAATTGCTGCAGTATCCCTTAAATGGGTAATTTACTTTGAAATGGGAACATATTTTATCTACAGGGTATTCATTTTCTTAATAACTGAATCTGGCATAACTTGCTAACAAGACAGCTTGCACTTGCACTTAAGAGAAAGCACTCATGGTTATAGGTAGTTGAACATTTTAGAAGGAAAATCACTTAACCTACTCAAATTTAGAGCTTTAGAAAGAATACATTAATGTGTAAAGGAAAGAAGACCCAAAGCATAAATGCTTTTAAATTATCTTTTCCCCAGATAAAAATTACAGTACCATGACTTTCAAGCAGACATTAAAAATTCAAC